CGCCGACCGAGATTATTTATTGCGACGAGGCGAGGTGACTCAATATGTCAGGTAGACGAGCCGCTATTGTGTTTGCCAGTGCAAGTCAATTTGCTTCTGCCGACGCCCACACGTACCGCCGTCGTCAAGATGTCATTTTTCACACATGCTGCCGCCATCCGAAAGAAGAGAGCACAGAGGCACAGTTTAAATTTATTCCCTTCAAAATCATTCACACCCTGCCTCCATCTTTCATGTGTTTATCTTGTGCGAAGAGAATAGGAAAATAATGTGAAACCAGCCAGTCATGATCATTTTGAGAAGTGTGTTTAAATAATTTTAAAGGTGGGGAAAGTAGGGTTGAAATTATTTGTTTGAAATAAACAAAAATTAAATGTACTATAAATTCCAAAATAAATCCACCTCTTTTTAAATTAAGATCAAGTTTCTGGAATTACTTTTAATCCCCTTACTTGATTACAATTTTAAATCATTTTATTTCATATTTTTAGAAAAACCACACTTTTTTAAATATATTTTGAAAATTATCACCTATTTTTAGATAAAAATCTACTTAAACAGAATTTAAAATATCATAGTATATGAAAAGTATCGAAAAATATAATTAATTAGTCATCAGTTTTTCACTTACCCCTACTACAGCTTAAAAATCACCTTTAATTAAATATTCAATCAAAACTATTAATAAAATATGATTTTTTTAAATCTCATAAATTTAATTCATCTCAACTTAAAAATTTTAGGTCAGACGAATGAAGGCTTGAAATTTTTGCGATGAGGCATTTGCAGCTGGCAAACGCCAAATTTGAGCCTTGCGCTACTGCCCGCAGCAAGATGTGGGAACATTTGAGACTTTTGGCCGGGAGGGTGCAATATTAGCGCCGAGGAGCAGTTTAATACACGAGGTCGGCGGCGGCGAGCAGCCTGTTATTTCAATTTGCAGCGCAGTAGAATGAAAGCCTCGTGGGATGGCAAGGCCTAAACTGCCTTCTCGCCATTGGTCACTCCACCCTGCGCCCTGTTTACACAACGCTCCGAATATATACAACAGCATTTCATCACCTTTTCAAGCAATTCCACACCAGCATACTCTCATAGGCCGCCGACATAAAATCCCTTAAATATATAAACCGACCGACCAACACAACATGTGTATTAAAATTTATTTCTTTGCCTTTGTGAGGAAAATGTGCGGGAGGTTCATCCCGTGGGGATTTTCACCAACATTGAAATGAGAATGCTTATTTAAAGGTAAAATTTGTATCTTTCGAAATTTTAATTAATAAAAGAAATACAAATTTTGGCGGAAAAATTAATTAAATTATTTAAAATGAGGAAGGGAAACGAATTCTTTTGTCTTTGCAATCATTTTTATTTCCATTTTTCAATTATTTTGGTAATCTGAAGTTTTTACAATACTGAAGAATTAGTGGACACGAATATTATTGTTTTAAATGTATACGTTTTTTTTTATTAAAATGCTTAAAAATTATAAATTATTATAAATATTTTCCAAGTTTATCTATTTTTCTCAGGACATGTGTTTTTAATTGAAATTTCATATTCCAAGTTGTTATTTCTTTATTCGTATAATATTAAAATGGTGAAATATTTGTGAATTTATATATACCAAATGGGTAGCTTTTGCTGATTAAAATTCTCTTAAAATGGAGTAATTACTGCGTTTCATCAACACATTTTGGTTATTAAACAAAAGAAAGGTTGAATAGGCTGTCTGTCATCTTTTTCCCGTCTCAGCTTAAAATATTTATAAATAATCGGCTGACTGGAAAAAATTAAGAATTTGCAAGAAAAATTTGCAACATGGGCCTGGTGTTGTTTTGCGTTTGCCGCAGTACTGCACGTGTAGCGGTAATGTAAGTACATACGTAGCCGGCAGTACTAGAGGCTGCTGTCATCAACATGATCGCACCTCACCGGCACAAACAAGCCTAATTGTAGTAGATAGCCGGCTACACTTTCTCCGGGACTCACTCTCACCCTCTCTCTCTCTCTCTACTTGGCTGGCGCGAGCCCCGCGTGTGTTATCCCATTTTTAGCAGCACCGGCACCGCAGCCAGACCAAGACACACTTTCGCCTAGCTGCTTCGTTATCTCCGGCCAACTAATTTAGCCGCGCGACTCAGACGAGGGAAATGTCGTAAAATTTATTCCACTGTGCATAATGTTTATGAGTATCTTGAGCTCCACCCCTCCACGTCTGCCTTTGTCTTTTGCCTATAATTGCCGGCAAACACGAAAGAACTTTCAGTGAAAGTATGTTTTAATTTAAAAAAGTACAACTTTAAGCGCATTGGGTGATTTAAAAATTTAAAACAAAATTTATTACGAAACTAAAAACTCTATTTCAAAATGCTTTGTTTCTTCATTGTAAATTTGCAAAAACGTATTCCGGAGTAAATATTTTTTTCTGACTGTGAAGTTAGAGTTAGATCAATTTAATGGCTGCTTTGCTGCAAGTAAAATTTTATTTTCACGCTTTTAAAATCGTCAAAAATCCGAATTTACTTTTATTATACATAATTGCGGTTGTTTTGGTTGAAAAGAACAATTTTTTTCTTTTAGAACTTTCTATAAAAAAAAGTTCCTGGGCAATTTTGAAGAGGGGTGAAAACTTCTACACCCTTGTTTTTGCCTCGTTTTGTCTAAATGTTTTCGCAATATTTTTTTTATCCAGGTGAAAACTTGACGCTGCTACTTATTTCCGTCCTTAAGTACAAAAAGCAAAGTAAGAGCATTTCCATTTTTTTTTTCAAGAATAAGTAGAGAAAAATGCATTTCAAGGAAAGCTGCTCAGGGAAATAATCATAATGCTCTTGCACAAAAGCTCTCTTCGTTGTTAGCAGACGCCGTTTATTTCTGTTCTTTATTTAATTCCACGCGACCTGCATCCCGGGGGCGCGCTCCAACTTTGTTATGCTTGCATCATTATACCGGAGCAAAAAAAGCAACGCCAGCTTTTATCATCGCAAAATTGCTTCTTTTCTCGTCGGCCGGTGCGTGGGCTTTTGATGATTGAGCTGGAGAATAAATCCAAGATGACGCATGACGTATCACACTTTACTATCTGACGTTTCTTTGATTATGCAACCTGCTTGACGCATCTGTTTGCCAGAACAGCATCAATTGATTGAATCTTGATCTTGTGAAACAAACTGCCAGTATAAAGTTCTACAATATTTAATTCAAATCTGATCTATTAAAAAAATCTGGATTAAAATTATTAAAATAAATAAATAAATCATGTTTGTGAAAGCTCTTATGAGCTCTTCTTTCTTTTTGCTTAATTACAAACCGAAAAATTATTAAATAAAAAAAAAATCATCAGGTTGAAGAAAATCTTATCAATTATCAAAATATTTATGTTAGCTTATTTTTCCCTTTAAATAATTTTTTAAATCTATTCAACCATAATTTTTGACAATTTCTTTCACCAATATTTTATGACGTTGGAAATTTAAATTTACTGCTCTTGTTTTTTTTTTCATTTTAAAAAAGAAAAAGCATTCATGTATTTATTTGCACCAAGTCTGCAAGTTGGTAACGATTTAAACGGAAACCACCGGTTTTTTCTTTCTCCACACATAAATTGGATAAAGGAATTTTTTTTTTCCAGCGCACAACTTTTTCATCGGCGTCTGTGACGTGAATGCACTTTTCAAGTGGCGGTTGTTTGCTCGCTCTAGATTTATTATTCGCCTGGTAATCTTGCCTCGGAGCTTTGGTCGGCGGATTAAAATCCACAATAAATTAAATCAACAGCAAAATGTAGGCCAAACAACATTACCATCACCACACCAGTGGTAATAAAGATTCGACGAGCACCAGCGTCTGCGAATAAAATTTATGCATCTAAAATGGGAGGGAAAAACGAGAGTTTGCATGTCTATAATTTACAAAGTGAGTGTGTGTGTGGGGCGAGGAACGTTAAAAATGTGTTGAAGCAGCACAGACTTGATAGGATGTCCGTGAACCATAGATAAAGTTGGCGAGAATGGAGAGAAAAGGAATTTTTAGAGAGGACATTCGGATAGATCTAAGTGCTGTTTAATATTATCAGCAATTCCGGATAAAATTTCTTCTTGCTGCGTGGGCCAAAATTTCGGTCCGCGCGCATTATTGACCGCACCCCAGTTTGTTTAGCGACGAATTTAATGTTCACCAAGAGTAAATATCTGCGGCTTTCCAAAAGTCGTTTCCACTCCCCGAATTTCTGCTCATTTTGCGGATCTGCCACATACACATATCGAAGGAGAAAAAATTTAATGCATTCAAACGGGTGGCGCCACATCTTTCACAAAATTTTTTGATTGTCCCTTTTAATGCAAATAAGATGACGTAGAAATGTGATGTAAACCCCGAGCCATAAAACAAGTCAGTCAAATTTTAAAGGAGAGGAAAAATATATTACGAAGGACTGCGATTTTTATCTTGAAAAAAAGAAACATTAAAACGAATTGAAGTCGGACTCGCTGCTTTTTTATTCTCTTGGTCAATTTCGATAGCGCGCCGGCCAACGCTGAAATGAGATATAATTTCGGCGCGGAATATGATAAAATTATCTTGTTTATTCTCATTTTATTCTCGGGCAGATACACGCTTTTTATTATTCACCGAGAAAGAGAGACGGAGAGAAAAGAAAATAAGAACGCAAGAAAGCCTTGACAATTTTTATTCTGACGCATTGGGGAAATAATATTTTAAGGAGATAAGCAACACAATTGCTGGCGTTGAAGTCTAACCCTCCAAACTGAGCTCGCCGCGCCACTCTTTCTGTTTAACCAACGCCTTTTTGTTTCCACTCTCTTGGCCTAATTTTTGACGCGTCGGCTATATTTCTCTCCTCTCTACCCTCGAAATGATTTGTCACTTAAAATTAATTCAATCTTGGCGAGAATGAATTTTATTTATTACAGACCAAACACGCCAGAGAGCGATAATTCGGTCTGAAAAATGATCGAGTCAAATTTGCCCCCTACCTTCGTCAGAAGTCCGACTCGGCTTCGAGTCTGCGTTGTCCGGCGCGGGTGTCACAGGAGCGGTGGAAATGTCTTCAGCGGCCCGGATGATACGTAGACCGCCATTGTTGTTGGTGTCTTTTGAACTCTCACCTCTTTGCTGTTGCTGTTGCTGCTGCAGCTGGTTGGAACCAACACCTGAAAAAATAGCATAAATATTTATTTAAAAAATTTTAAGTAGAGTGGAATTTTAAGTTAACTTTTCAATATTATTATTCATTATATTTTTTTTTTTAAATTTACATTTATATTTAATTTTGTGGATTTCGGATTGCTACAAAATCAATCTTTGAAAACAATAGATCTATTAAAAAAGGAATAGTTGGACAAAAGGGCACAACCACTAGCAATAATTTTGATAAACGTTTGTTTTCATAGTGTAATTTTAAATATTTTGACGATTTTCTTGTTTTCCGTACATCAATAAACTTAATTTGCAATAAAAATTTTGACTTTTACTTTAAAAATTCAATTTAGTCATTATTGAATAAACTGATTTAAAATTGGTATTCCATTTTTGATTGTAAATTTTCAATAAGCAAATGCGTGTCAAGTAAAATCTGTACTACCAGACACAACAGGGGAAAAGATTAGGAATGGCAGTTTCTTATAAAGATCGAATATTAAAAAAAAAATCATTCCTTAATTTTTGAAAGCCAAATTTCCAGGCCTCGTTGGTTTACTTTTTATATAATTAATTTTTATATAGTTAGTCAAGTTTATTGTTTTGAAATTTAATGATATTTACTAAAAGGTAATAAAAAATTAATTTCGAACAAAGAAGTTTTAAATTATTTTTACAATCAGTCTTTCTCAATCTGCATTTTACGGTAAATATCCCACAGTGCTTTTAGTTCTTTAAGAAATTTCAAGAATGGAACACGACGAGTGGCAATTAAAATTCCACGCGAGTCATAATTCTGCTCATTCCACATCACTTCGCTTATTAGCTGGCATGGTCTCAAGGGCCGCGTCACACCAATCTAATTCGCAATCTCTCTCTTTCCGGGAGCTAAATAAATTTCTGGCCGCACCTTAAATATTTCACGCGGCGGCGGCGGCGGGCCGAGAACCATACAACTATTATGCATAATTAATTGAAGTTAAACTTCGCACGAGAGGGCCAAAAAACGGCGGCGCAGACCATGTTTCTTGCTGTGTCGGGCCCACCGCCGTGCGTTTATTATGTACGTTTTGTATTTATGCATGTGTTTAGCCCCGTTCTAAGCGTGGAGGAGCGTCTCTGCATCAAATTATTTCCACACAGTGTGAGCACAAGGGGCGACCGACCGACCGACGGACGAGGGGAAGAAGATTAATCACAGTGTATCTTTACTTGCTTGATGGCCTTGTTATTACATCATGTCCTTTCGAGGCTGACCTTTTTGTGCCCCCCACGGACATTATACGCCTGCTAAATTGCGGGGCGGTTTCCAGTTAAGAAATTGGACTGATTCATTCATGATTTTTGTTAAGTAAAGTTATTTCAACTTATAATTAATGGTATACCAAAAAATCATGTCAAATCATAAGAATTTTTTTATGATTATAGAATAGTTATTCACGTTATAAGTTATAAAAATTAATTAATCATAAAATTCATTAATAGAAAATATCATAAGGAACTTTGATAAAACGTCAATTGTTAATAATGAATAATCCATGATAATATTGCCTGTGAATATTAGACAGTTAATATGTCTTATAATATGCTTCAAATTAAATTTGAAGTAAAACACAATTATCAAAGAACAATCTAATGTGTTTATTATTAATATATAATAAATTAAAAATATTAAATTTATAACATCATCAAAAACATTTGAAAAGAAAAATTGTTTCATGGTGCAATAATAGTTTTTTTTTATATATATTTTCAGACTAATTGTAAGAATAATTGTAGCGTTTAAATTTCTCATTTGCATTTCAAAATATCAATAATATGTATATTCGTAGATCAAGATAATGCAAGTATATTTTTGCAGCTTTTAGTTTGATAGATTTTTTGAAAAAAAAAAAATAATAATGGATTCAAACAACCAAAATTTAATTGAAGCACTGTATATCTACTCAAATAAAAAGTTTTGCTTGAATCACGTGAATAAGACAATATTCTAAAAACAATCCATACCAATTTCAACAATTATATTTTTGTCACAAATTAACTTGGGCATATTGATTTGCTGTGTGTTCTTTCAAATTAATTTTAGAACATCACTCTTGAAAAAATTAACAACATTATTCTGATTATAAAAATATTAATTAAATCCATGTATAATATTATAATAAAAAGCAACAAAAAATTGCGTCTGACGTATCTCGTATTTGTGCTCGTCTCACAGGACAAAAATGTAATCAAAATTGGAGCATTAAGTGGAAATTGTAAGCTTGCAACGTCTTCCCCTCACTCCACAGCCATAAAATATCAATCTCCTTTATCGTCAGTGAGCAAAATGGAACGGGTTAATTTAGTATGCTAAACCGGCAAATTTATGGCGGCGCGCGAGAAGGAGGAAAAAATAAGATCGCCGGCCGGAAACTTTTCACGAGACTTTTTCCTCTGCTTTTTAATCAATAGGCGAAGAAACAGAAGAAAAATTTCTCAGAGAGTTCAATTTTTAATTAGCAGAGAAGAATTCTCGCCCCGTTATATTATAATGCGGGGGATAAATTTCCGGGCTGTCAGCAGAGGAATCTGTGACATATTTCGCTGATGGGCAAAGTTTGCTAATTGCGCAGATGCCAGCCGACTCCCCGGCGACCTATTGAATTTTTCTCGTGTCTGACGTGACGCCGCATATTTTTTTTCGGCGCTCGTATTTCACGCGGTGGTGCATCTTGGCAGGTGGAAAAAATTCATAAAAACACAGGCGAAGAAGATGGAGGCCGGAAAAAGTAGGGCTCACATGGCGTTGCAAGGTTAGTGGCGGCGGAAAACTTATTTCGCGGATAGCTCCCCGAGGAGCGATTGAAATGAAAGTACAGCTAGGTACCCAAACAAAGAGAATCCCTTGCATTATAATAATGTGTAGGCGGCCGACGAGTATATTGCACGGATTTGCCGCCAGCAGACCCTTTTTGTCTCAAAAAAATTTATCGTCCGCCGGCGGAATAATTTTTAAATATATTTTTGGAGAAAGAGACATGTCGCTGTGTGTTTTGTGTTTGGTATTCTCGCTACGTGGCTCACTCACATAAATTAGGTGAATGGACAGAAAATTATTGTGTCCGCCCAGCTAGGCCGCGCGCATTAAAATGAGATAGGCCGCAGATAGCGCCCAAATTGGTGTCCCTTCCAAAGATACCGATTGACCTTTGGAAAAAGCACAAATAAAGTTAAACAAAAGACAGCGAATTGTCATGCCAGAGAAATTTGTTTGGTTTCTCGCAAGGGAACGTTAGTAATGTTTAGTGAATTTTTAAGGAGAAGCGAGATGTAAAAAAATTATCTTTGATTTTTCTTTTAATTCCCTATAAATTGAATAGTAAAATTAGTTCTTTGAAGGACTCCTTAGGGCATATTCTTGTCTGTTCAACAATTGATAACAGTTAAAATTGATAATTATTGCATAAGAAAAATAAAATAAATTATTCTGTTGTAAGAATTTAATATGATTATGACAAAATTAAGTTTTTTAGAGCCTTTATAAATTTAATTTGTTTCAATGGAGGAGCCTCATGCTATTTTATTTTGTACTAAATAACAATTTTGATTTTTGAATAAAGTCGGTTACGGTAGTGTGTTGACGTTCCCTCTAGCTTAAATATTCGAAATGTTCATTACATTAAAATTGACTGCTGGAAAAGAGAGTTTATATTGTTTTTGGATTGTTTCTAATGGGCACGAAATCGGCCAGTTTGTAATCAATCGAACAAAAAACTGCCTCGTCATATCACATATAAATATTATTTTGGAGAAGGAGGAAAATGATATCATTATGTTTTGTTTGAGCCGATAAAAGTTGCCGGAAAGCAGCCAAGCAGTCAGTCAGTAAAGTAATTCAGCTTTGATCTCTCTCTGTGCCAATGTTTACATTTTTCTTGAGCGCGGGTGATTTTTCAAGAGTGGCTTTGTGCGCTCCTCTGCTGGCAAGTGCACGGGGGCGCGCAGATAAAAGCAGAAAGAAAAACATTTTGTGAAGTGCATTGAAATTAATTTTGAGCCATTATCTGCTGGTCTGCCGGCTGATACGGGAGGGAGTCGAGCGCCGCACCACGATATATACGGAACACAGCAATTGACCCAGAATCGTGACATCGTTCCTGTCTTTGAGCTCGCGCCCTTTTATGTGAACTCTTTCGTACACGTTCGTCGTGCACCCCGTGTTTTGATTGTAATGCCCTCACAGTATATATGTATACATACAGGGGGTGAGCGCTCTGGGAAAACCACCACCGCCGCTCACCTTGCAAGAACGGCCCCGCTTTTTTAATGAATGAGAATAAAACTAGAGAGACACGCCAGTGATCTGCGACCTGATTTCCAATCCCATTGCCAGCAGAAGATAAACAATCTTATAACTATTGTCATTAAAAATGCAAGCTACTCGAAATTATTTTTAATAGCTAATTATTATTATAATAAAAATCAATTTCAGTTATTCACGTAATCAATAACAATATTAAATATCAAATACTTTCATAATATTCTTTGTTTTTCATCTTTTTTTTTAAGCTATAAAAGTAAATTACTTTAATTTATATTTCGTTTAAAAATATGATCCATTGTATAAGACAATTTCACTTCCTTCAAAAATAGTGATTTTTTTCTTCTCTTGTTGCTCGAAATTAATTGGAATTATCAATTTACAAATATTCTATTTTATAAGTAAATTTTTTAAATTGCGTTACACAGAAATATTCTAGCAATATTTTTTGACTTACATATTATGCTTTAAAAAATTACAATTTCCTTGATTAGTTTTGTTTCTCTTAAGGAAATATGGTCAAGGAATTAATATCAAACTTGATTGTACTGTAATTTTTTTAGCTTTTCTTGTCAGACCTTAATTATTTGCCTGGTAAAGTTTTATAATAATAAATTATAGCCCACATCCTTAAAAGGTTTTTAATTACACGTTTTTTACTAATTAATTTTAACCATAAATCTCAGACAAAACAAGCGTGTAGAAACAAAT